ACACAAGTTCAAAAAATAGAGGACATCGTCCTGGGACGAATGGGTTAAATCATCTGGATGAATAGTTCAAGAGCACAAGTCCAGAGGACATCGTCTTAGGATGAATGGGTTAAATCGTCTGGACGAACAGTTCAAAGCACAAGTCCAGAGGATATTGTCTTGGGACGAATGGGTTAATTCGTCTGGATGAATAGTTAAAAGCACAAGCCCAGAGGACATCATTCTGGGATGAATGGGTTAGTTCGTCTAGACGAACAGTTCAAACCATAAGTCCAGAGGATATCATCCTGGGATGAATGGGTTAGTTTGTATGGATGAATAGTTAAAAGAACAAGTCCAGAGGGCATCATCTTGGGATGAATGGGTTAGTTTATCTAGACGAACAGTTCAAAGCACAAGTCTAGAGTGAAAGTTTGTTAGGGATGTTAAGCCCTATAGAACTGGCCCGAGGCTAACCAAGAGGGGGGTGAATTGGTATTTAAAAAATTCTTTAAAACCAAAAGAACGATTATCACAAACCAAATCACCACAAAAATAAGTGCGGAAGAAAATAAATGCGGAAGCAATAAAAATAAGAACACAAGGATCTACAGTGGTTTGGTTAACTCGACCTACATCCATTCCCCGGAGGCACTCTCCGAGTATTGCACTACCAACGTGACTCTCCTTTAGCCCCCACAGCTAGGCGGAGAAGCCCTCACAAAAACACCTCCTTTTTGCCACACCCAACAAGGCAGAGAACCCAACTCCTTTTGCTTCCTCCTGAAGCAGGTAGAGAACCATGATCACTTGCTGAAACTTATCTCTCTCAACCCTTCCAAGGCCAAGAGACTCTAGGAAAGAAGAAGTTGAATAATGTTTGGAGCAACCCTTATGAATCCTCTCACAAGCTCCCCCTCACAAGATCCTCTCTCTCTCTCCCTCTCTCTCTCTCCTTTAGGTTTTCTCAGGTCAAGAAAGCAGCCAAGAATATTCAAAAACATTGAACAAGAGCTCTTAAAAAGAAGAGCTTCAAAGGGGCTCATTAATTACAAGTTGCCGACTTTATCGTATGGCCGATCAGTACAAATCTCATAAGATCGACTAGAGCATCGCCCTGAATGCAAACTGGATGATTGAAAATTTGCTTGATCGTCCCGGACGATCTCACAATCATCCCGACCGATCATTTCAAATCAGAAGAAAATCATCCAGAGCATTGCCCTAAATTTGAGATGTCCGATCCAAATCGGCCAGGAGCAACCAAGGGTTTTTGAATGGATCATCCCGGCCGATCTTGAGATCGTCTGGGATGATGTGATCGTATCAATCATCCTTAATTACTCCCATGATTGTCAGATCAATTTAGGCATAATTATACAATATCGTCCATGCCAATCAAATAATCGTCCTGGCCGATTTCCAAAAATACAGAATACCTAAATTGATCATGGCGATAATTTCTTTCTGTATTGAGCATATCGTCCTGGCCGATACAGGTATCGTCCAGGCTGATCAGTTAATTACGGCTGCCTTAACTAAGAAATCCTGATTAGATCTTCTGTTTTGAACTCAATCGTCTAGGACGATATAAATATTGTCCCGGCCGATGTGAGTAAAAACACAAGTTCTAAATCTCTCAAGTGTGTGTGTGTGTGTGTAGGGTTACTTAACATCAGTCACTTCAAACAATTACAATTGACTCAAGAAAGAAAAAAGAAAATTGCAGACTGACTCAACCCTAATGTACCCAGTCTTGAGCTGATTCCGATTTTCGTCCGATCTTTGAATCCTGAAAATGTCAGTAGTAACAGGCAGTTGAAGAAAAATAAGAGTGTTTGTCAATCATCAAAACATAGTCCATGAAACTGAATTTGCAACATAGAGGATATCGTCCTGGGACTAATGAATTAAATCATCTTGATGAACAGTTCAAAGCAAAAGTCTAGAGGATATCATCCTGGGACAAATGAGTTAGTTCGTCTGGATGATCAGGACTTAAATAAAAAAATTTCTCGCTTGTTCGTTCCATTGCTCTTTGGGAGTATAACTGATCAGATTGTCTCGTACAAATATGGTTCGTACTGTACGATCAGTATTATAAAATTATAAGTTTTTAAAGCTCTCCCCAGTGTGTGTGTGTGTGTGTGTGTGTGTGTGCGCGCGCGCTAAGTTACTCAATTACAATCATACTCTCTCAGACTAAAATAAAAGAAAAATACAAACTCCTAGTTACAAAATATTCTGAGCAGATCTTGATTTGAAGTCTTCAATAATTTTGAGTATGATTTTCCTTAAATGTTAGTACACACAAGAACAAAAAAAAAATCTTCCAAAATATGTTAGGAGAAAATAATAATCAAAATAATAATATTTGGAATCATCAAAACATACAAGTTACAAGAATGTAAAACATGCAAAGTTAAGTAGCAACTCTCTCAACAACTAAGGCTCGAAGCCTTAACAACGTCATTTGGAATACAACAATTTGATGGTTATGGCCTCTCTATGGCAGTGCTTTGAAGAATTTTGTCATGCAAAAGATGTCCAATGATGGTAGCTAGGCAATGATGTTTGATAATGATGGTTGGGCAGTGATAATCCACTGACGGTGGGCAGGTGGTGGTGGTTCGACAATGGTGATAATCTAGTGGCAGTTCGACAATAGTGATCGTATAGTGAATTGAAAGTTTAACAATGACAGTTGGGATGGTGGCTTGACGGTAGAGGTCAAGTGATGGTGGTTCAATGGTGGATATTCAACGGCAGATAGAGGATGGTGGTTGGGCGGCAACAATTTGATGAACACGGTGGGACAACAAAGGACCTATGGTGATGACCAGGGGAAGATTATATGGTTGCAGTCGGGTGGAGCACTAGGAACTCTTAAGTTTCAAGAGAAGGTCACCCTCTTGTGGAGAGTTGGGGCATATTTATAGATTTTTAAGAGATGTATACCCCATAAATATGGAGAAAATTAGAATTTTCTCTTCAGATGGTTCATATTTATTTCCTTGATCATTTCTTCCACATTTGGGTATCTTAATGATATTGAAATGAAGCAATTTTGGGCTCTGGTATTTGTGTCATCGAGATGCTTGATTTAACTAGAAGCACATGAGCTGTAGAATTAGTTTGGTTGTCAAGTTAATGTCATGAAACTTTTAATTATGCTTCAAGTGCTTGATTTTTTTATTATTATTTTGACTCAGATAAACTTACTTTTGATGTTGATAGGTTTGTTTTATATAGACATTCGATTTAATCATAAGTTTGTTGAAATTGGAATTGAATAACATCAAATTTAATGTTGAAAGTTTTTAATTTAAATGTGCATATTGATTCTGACATTTTATATGACCAAACCTTCTAAGGAGACTCCAACCTTTTCACGTATATACTTGTTTCGCATGATATCACTAAGTGTAAAGCTGCTCATATGCCTAAGCATCATCATCTCTGCAACACTTAACTTTGTTTTATACTTCTCTTTTTATGACCAACATTATGCACCATAAAGCATTGTAGGTCTCATCATCATCTTATAAATTGTTTCCTTAAGTTTGAGGGGTATTTTTCTATTACACAACAGGCCTAATACATTCGCCTACTTCAACCATTCAAATTGAATTCTACTAATGATTTATCCATCTATTTCACCATCGCTTTAAACAATAGACCTAAGATATCTAAAATGTGCACTCTTTTTAATGACTTGATCACTTATTATTATAATTCTGATGCTAGATCTATTCCCACTAAAATTACCCTCCATGTATTTGGCTTTAGATCTTAGATAAAAAACTATAAACTCTAAGGTTGGCCTCCTTAATTCATGTTTTTCTTCAACTCCCTCTCTAGTCTTATCAACAATAAGAAAACCATCAATAAAAAGCATACACCATGGTGTATTCTCTTGTATATATCTACTAAGATTATCCCTGATTAAAACAAAAAGATATTGGCTCAAAGCTAATCTTTGATGTAATCCAACCAAAAAGGAAAAAATTTGGTCAAATCATCTTTTGTTTGAACACAAGTAACAGCTCTTATAGACAAATCTTTAATAACTTGAATATAAGTATTATTATCCCGTCTTTTTTAGAACTTTTTAGAGCACTCATCTTGATATTAGATATAAAAATACATATAAATTATACGGTATATATGTAAATGCTTTTATTTAAAAATAATTAGTAGGTATTATTTTATTTATAAATATGACTACAAATTAAATGAAGGTAAGCCGCTCCTGAATTTTGGATGAATTCTTCATGCCATTTACACAAAAGACATCATGTCAACAAATTTCGAATGATCAGTAAAATTTTGCATTTAATTCGGTAGCAATATAACTTGAATATTGCGTTATGCTTTTTTAGCAAATTATAAGGGGGACCAATTGTGCTCTACCCTTTTTTTCTTAGATTAGGATTTCGGAAGTGAAAAAATCACGACTCATAAATAGCCGAATTGCCACTTTGAACGTGATAAAGTTTAATAATGCGCGTCCTTTACATTTATTGTCTCAAAGGAGATCACATTATCAAGCATGCCAATGCCACCTTTTTTAAATTTAAATTTATTTTTATTAATATTTTTAATAAGAAATTAATGAAAATATTTAAGAATACTTTTTAAAAAGGAACATGTTTAAAATGTAATTAAGTAAAAGAAACGGAATTATTAAAAAATTTTAAAAATAAACAAATTAGCTAAATTATTTGATGCAAACCTACTATTTATTATACATTGCTCGTTAATTCGCAGGCTTGATTTATTTTTTTATTTTTTATTATCTCATCTAATAATTACACAAATAGAAGTTCTAACCAGATGACTATTATAAAAAATAAAAAATACAGCTTTTAACGGTAACTATTTCAAAACAGCTCCTATTGATATATTTCTCAGCCAAATCAAAGATGCTAGAAATTCAAATATAAAATGCATTAATACAGTATTTTTAGAATATAACAATAATCCAACCAATCCCGAAAAATATTAAAAAAAAAATTAAATTCACACCAACTCAAAAAAATCATTATTCTAAATCACAATTCATTACAATATTAAAACATTACTCTATAATATGCTTTATAGGTAGAATAAGATACCAAGTTGCCTTAAGAAAAGGAAAATTATTTGCTGGCAGCTAAAATTCTTTAATCTTCCAGGCAGCAATTAATTTATCCTATATAACACTAACACCCACAAATTTCTACTATATTATAGAGAGAGAGAGAGAGAGAGAAATAGTATTATTAGTTTCTGGCTTTCACTATAGCTAAAAGCGGCCTGTTCATAACTACAGTGAACTCTAGCTTACTTCCAAAATCAAGCTCGGGCTCGTCAGGATGGAGGTTCCATTCAAAAGCCTGAACCATTCTCGCCAGCATAAGAGAAATGTGAATAGTTCCCATTCCCAAACCTGGACAGATCCTCCTCCCAGCACCAAAAGGAATCATCTTTATCTCCTTCACGCCTGTAATATCCGCGCTCTCTCCTCCTCCTCCCGGCAAGAATCTCTCTGGTTTAAACTCTTCTGGTTCTTTCCAGAGCCTTGGATCCTCGGAGATGGTCGGCAAATAAATCTCTAAATTGGCATCCGCCGGGACGTCATAACCCCCGAGCTTGGCGGTCTGTACAGCCGCGTGGGTGAGGGAGAAATACGTCGGCGGATGTTTTCTTAACAGTTCTTTCACGAATGCTTGAAGATAGACCATACCTTCGATGTCGTTTTCACTCACCGGCTTGTCTTTGCCTGCGACTGACATAATCTCTTCGTAAAGCTTTGATTGGATGGATGGATTGTTGATGAGACGCGCAATGCCCCATTCGATGGCGGTGGCGGTGGTGTCGGTTCCGCCGTTGAGGAATTCGGAGCAGAGGGTGACTAATTCCGTGTCGTTTGGCGCGGAATTCCGACCCTCGACGCGAAGATCGAGAAGGGAGTCGAGGTATGAGAATGGAGCCGCGGATTTGTGATCGTCAGGGTTTTTAAGAATCGCGCGGCGTTTGTCGATGAGCGGGACGATGGTTTCGATCTGTTCTTTGCGGACGTTTAAGGCGTGCGCGCGTTGTTTGGAGAAAAATGGCCGGAGAAGTGGGAGGTAATCGTCCATGCGCGGGCTGAGAGTTATGAGAACCCTTTTCATGACTTCGTCGATGCGAATAATGTCTTTCTCATCTAGCTCAACGCCGAAGCACATGGAAATTAGAATGCAGAAGACGGCGTAACGAGCGTTGCGGAGAACCAATATGGCGTCATTATTGGCAATGGCTTCGGAGCGGATTCGGTCGATGAAGCGATCCATGGCGGCGGCGCGGTTGGGGTAAAATTGTTTCAGGCGAGCGTTGGAGAGCATGCCGGAGACCATGTTCCGGCGAAGAGAGCGCCATTCTGGTCCGTAAATGGCGGAATTGACTGTGAATTTGTTGCAGCTGAAGATGACTCGGGTAGGATTTTCAGCAGGGCGACTGCAGAAGAGTTGGCCCTTCTCGATTAGCGCTTCGTGGGCGAGCTCGGCGCTGGAAATAATGATGAGGGTCCGAGCCCCCATGCGAAGCGTTAAGATCGGCCCGTAGATAGGGAATAGTTCGCGGACGTAGTGGATGAATTGTTTGTTGGAAAGAGCGACTTGGAATAGATTGCCGATGATGGGCCATCCAGGGGGACCTGGAGGGAGCTTCAGCTGCTTCGAGTTGCGAGATTTGTTTCGGGTGAAGAAGAAGAAGAAGAAGATGATGATGGGAATGGAGATGAGGAGAGAGAGTGAGGTGAAAACGACAGGAGCAGAAACCATGGCGGGAGATAGAATAAGGTGGAAGGTGATGGGTGCTTTGTTATAGGAGGAGATGGGAAGGAGGAGGAGGAGAAAGTTGGTTGGAAGGATTAATTAGCGTGGAGCCGAGTTCAACTGAATTGGAAAGAAGGTAGCTCGAGAACTTAATGGACATGGTTGGGTTGCCAATTGCTCAGTTTGTGTTGCAATTAATTGCCGTCAATTTGCGGTTTGGAGGACGGGGTGAATTTGTTGTTGAAAGAACATACCATTTATTTTTTAAATAAAGAAACTGATCTAAAAAATTTGTTTATGTGACTATAAGTGTTAGGAAATGGCCTTTGTAGGTGGCTGAGTAACCATAATCATTCAACGAGCAACTTATAATTATAAGAAACTATTAAACATAGAGTAGTTCCGCTCAAACTAATAGATATCTTATCATTTAGTTAATTTACAGTTGAGGGGCCGAGTCCTCTTCATAAATGTTTCATATATAGATATTAGAGTCATTGCAGTAATTTCTATCTTAAGGGGTTGTTTGATTGATTATAAAATGAATGCAGTGCAAAAGAAATGCAATGTAAAAAGAACATAATGTAAAAAAGAATACATTGGAGGAGTTTGGATGAGTATAAAATAAATTCAGATGAATGATTTTTTTTAAGTAAAATGAATAAGTATAAAGTTTAAAAATGATGGCCGACAATGAAAATAGTGGCCAACGACCGACGGCTGTCGCGCGGTGGTTGGAGGGTGGTGATGGTGTGGTCGTCGGCTGACGGTGATGGTGGTGGCCGGAGATTGGCAGCGGTGGCAGACAGCGACTGGTGATGGCAGTTGCCAAAGGGTGGCAGCAGTGATGGTCAACAACTGGCGGCAATGGTAGCCAGCAACATTGGTGGCAAAATGTTGGCGGTGGGGGTGGCAAGTAGGTGGTGCTAGTGGTCAGCAACGGGTGCGATGACTGACGGAGGGTGAGGTGGCTGGCGATAGTGGCTTGAGGCGGTGGAGGTGGTTGGCGAAGGAAGCAGGCGGTGGTCAAGAGAGCTTGCTTGCAGTGTAAAGCATTCTTGCTCAAAACTGGGCGAGTTTGGATAACCATTAAAATGAACAAAAATTATCAGGTGCCCTAGTGCTTGAATAGTGGTGCCCCAATATTATGGGCTCAAAATAATGAAAAATGAACTAGTGCCCCATCTCTCAAACTATGGCACCTAGGCATTGTGCCTAATTCTGCACTTAAAAATAACCAAATCTATTATTCATTTCATTCCATTCTGTTTTAGTAGTGCCTAGTGTGTGTGTGTGAGAGAGAGAGAGAGATGGATTTTTAGTGAGAGAAAGTCCAGTTCGGGGGCTTCGAGTTATTTTTAGTTGTCGGCCCAGTTATAAAAGTTACTCAGATCGAGATATGTTATATTTTTTTCTATCTTAGATTTCTAAATTTTTATATTTTTGGGATATTTATGATTGAATTTATAATTTGGTTTTCTAAAAAAATGTAGTTTTCTTATTCTAGTAAATTTTATCCGTGTAAAATTTGATAGGTTATCGATACGACTGTTATAGTCATTTTGAGTAATTATTTGATATTTCTTCCATGTGATTTTTAAAAGCAGCAATTTTAATCAATTCAAAAATTCATTTTCACATCTAAAATTAGTGTTTTAATTCAGTTAAAGCTTTAGAATGTTTTTATACATGATATCTAGTAATTTGATTAATTTCTAAAAATATGAATATTTTTCTTAGTAAGATTTTCTGTTTCCTACCATTAAGGCATTTTGGCAAATTTTGAATGTAGTTTGATTTTGCTTTCTTACTCCATGCATTTAAATATGCATTTATTTGATTGAAATGTGGGATTCTATTGGTGGAGAGAAGAGATTTTGTTATATGTTATGTGATAAAAACTTTGAAGATTGAAGGCAGTTATGATTCTAAAGCCTGAGGGCTTTTCTTATATTCCCAGATAAGGGATTCTGATGGCAATTATGATTCTAGATCTTGGGGTACATTTATGGTTCTTGCCATGATCAAGCATGGTATGACATCTATGATATCGGGTCATATTGGTTTAGGTCATAACATCTGCTACTCTCATGCCCAACAAGTTTTTTTTTTTTATTATTAAGGACAATCACTTACTCAGTGATGCTTTCACTGATGAAAATATTAAGTTGGCTTTATTCATTATTGGATTTGATAAAGCTCTAGGGTCAGAAGGATTCATTAAGGAACTCAATTATAACTCTCATTCCCTCACCTCCCAAGATGACATGCTAGTGAAATCATCTCTTACTTCTTCTCCTCCCTAATCAATTACAATGGTAACCATAACTACTACTCACATGCCCATGGGTTATAATATTTTTACTAAGTACTATCACTTGCTGAAGCTTTCATTGATGAGGATATTAAGTTGGCTTTAATTATTCATTATTGGCTTTGATAAAACTCTAGGATTGGAAGGGTTCATCTCTAAGTTCTTTAAGGACACCTATCAAATTAATGGAAGGTCTTTCATATTTATCATTATGCACTTCTTCACCATTGTACTCTTCTAAGTTATTTCAAGCAAATTACTATTACACTTATACCTACAAAAACCTACACTTTAACCATGTATGATTATAGAGCTATATTTTGTTGTAAATATGGGGCCAAATATTATGATATTGATGATAATAAATGTTATTGTTTCTTTATTATTGTTATTATTACATATTTATTTTGTTTGTCCTGCTCTCTAACCTTTTAGGTCCACAAGTTCACTTGCAATACAAATCAGCTCAACATAAGATAGACTAGAGTTAAGTTTGTCTGTAATTTCAATTTTAATATACTTTTTACCTTTCTTTTGTCAAGTCATGTATTTAGTGGGCCCCAAACTAAGTAACCTTGCACACACACACTCAAGGGGTGAATTAAAGAGTTAGGAGAAAAATGGGCTTTTGAACTAATCATATAGTACGATATAAATTGTACTAGACGATCAGGTATATAAAAAACCCTAACTAGGGCAACCTTTATTAAGTAAGCCTGCTTAACTAATCATACTAAATGATTCAGATGATACATGATGATCCGTTATAGACATTAAAAATAATCGCTAATCATAATTTAGGCAATATTTTAATTTTCAACTTTTATTATAATTGTATAGGATGATACATATCATACTGGATGATTTATGACAATTTTTCCTAAAATTGATCCTGTAATTAGGGGACTAATTATGGTTAGATTGCTCGATCAATGATCATACTGGGTGATCTTTGATATTTCATGAGATTATCCCCCATCGTCCAATATAAAAATCATAATTTTCTTCCAATCATACAGGAGATCGTACAAGACATCCCGACATCCCTAGGGATGTTCGGGATAATATGTAAATTGTCGCATATCATCCCATATTGTACTAGATAATTAATATAGTATATTTAACTAATAGTCCCGGATGATCGCAAAATCATATTAGATGATCTGTACAAATACTTGAACTAATCGTATATGGTAATGCTAATTATACTGGCTGAAAGGGCTATTTTGTACTAATCATTCAGAATGATCTCAGGATCGTACTGGATGATCTTTGATGAAAAATTGAAAATTAAGGCTTCTTTTTTAAGCTCTCAATTTAATCTCTCATATTATATTTTGAAATATCTTTTGATGTTGAGTTGATTTGAAAGAGATCTTAGAGAAGAAAGAGAGAGAGAGAGAGAGAGAGAGAGAGAGATTTCGAATCTACTTTTAGGGAATAGGATTTTGATGATAGAAAACACTTCTATTTCTCTACGATTACCTTGCCTACTAATATTTCATGTCTATAAAATCAAAATGCAATTTGAACCAGCTCGATTAAATTGAGAGAAAATTTGAACATTTGAAACTGAAAATGAAGAGGAGACAATAAACTTGTGCTTGATGGGTGATCATCTTAGTCAGTCTGATCAAGAAGAGGTATGTAAACCAACATATGATCAATTACTTAAAATTTATGAGAAAATTCATCCATCTTATAAGAAACTTAAGAAAACTCATACTAGTCTGAAATTAGAACTTTTAAATTTGTAAAAGAGCATGAAATTTTAAGTAAAGATCACACTCAACGTGATAGAAATCACATGTCATTACTTGATGAGTTTGATGAATTTAATAAAAAACCATTTTGAATTTACTATTGAGCATGTTTCTTTGAAAACAACCTACACTTCACTTGAATCTGATTTTAAAACTTATATTGAAGAATATGAGCATAAGGAACACTATTTAAATATTGATAATATTGTTTTAGAAAGTGTTAACTTGTGGTTTAAAGCTAAATTGAATGTACTTGAGAGAAATTGGAATACATCAACACTTGATATAAAGTTAAAACCAAAGAAGAGGCATTTTAACTCGAACATATTAGTAAATCCTTTTTCTGGAGTTAGATATTTTTCATGTGGCTTGCTAGGACACATTTCACACGCTTGCACTGTTCATCATAGTACACATTGGGTATGAAAACCCAAATTGTATGATTCACAACATAACACATATACATTGCATTCTTCTTTTTATAAGAAGGGACCTAAACCTGTTTGGGTTCGTAAATCTAACATTTGATGATTTTGTAGGTGTGCTCTCACTAAAGATCTCGTGAGAGCATGTGGTACATGGACAGCAGAGGCTTGTAGCTCTTAATTGCATAAACTTGCTGCTTAACAAAATTTGATTTACATGTTTACTACTTTGTTGATTGTTGTTATTTTCTATTCTTTATGTTCTATTTTTTATTTAGTTTTTTATTTATGTTGTTATTTTGTAGTTGTTTCATCTTTTTGTTTATTAGTTTTTTTTGGTTATTTTTTGGTCATTATTGAAATGATATTTTACGACTTGTTTTTATTTTTGATAATTTTTAGTTAATATTTTGACATCTCTAAATCAATTAAAAGGAGAAACATTGTTGATTGTTTCCTTCTCTCTAACCTCTTTTAGTGGGGTAATTTTTTTTTTATAAATAAAAGTATATCTCAAATTAACAATTGGACTTTGTAATTGAAATCTTTTCTATCTTTCTATAGTAATTTATCTTATATATATAATGCTTAAAGTCTTTATATTACTTTCAAATTCTTTGAAATCTTGTTGTTACATTTATCATATAAAATTGATTCTATTTTATAGTTTACTCTTCCC